CCTGCAGTAGGTGTATCACTGGCAGGGGTATAGAACAGAAGTGATGCCCTAGGTAGGCTGAGACTCCAATCTCAGGTATTCTGTGCTTATCGCTTCCACTTAGCTCTTTGGTTCTGACCCAAGATCCCCCCCTGACCACTTTGATTTCCTAAATCCCACAGATTTCAAAGAGTTAATGAAGCCTAGTGAATAAGAGAGAGGGCCCCAGGATTGAGGCCCATATCTAGAGTTCAGTTTCAATATACCTAGCTATTTAAATCTTACATGATCCTGACAAATAGTTTTAGCAACTCTATTTGTGAGTTTCTCCCCCTGAACAAAAGTCACTGTGATCAGGCTCAGCCCATGGGGTCATGGAGTAACAGTTGGTGCCCCTCACTGCCATGGTGTCTGAGCTTCTTCCTGAGGTGTAGAGTCTCTCACAAAGGAACAACACATCAGTACACTGTCACGGGACCTACCTACTGAGCAAGGGAGAACTTGAGACCAGAGAGAGCAGCTGGATCTTCCAAGTGTTTACTGTGTGCTGGGCGCTGGAAAAGTGCTGTGTCTTACCTAGGGTGTGTCACCCTAGCCTCGTCAGGCTTTGAAGCAGCCATGCAGCCCTAGGACACTCATTGGAAAGTTGAAGAGAGTGAAGCTCAAGGCATCAGCAAAGCCAAATCTCCTGCTGTTGTCTTTTTAAAATTTCGTCTTTGTCTCTGGTGTTAAGATCAAATCCAAAAATCTTGTACCTGGCCTATTCCATAACACCCTCGGCCCGGCTCCATGTGATCTTCCTGGTCGGACTACTGTTCCCTGTGCCCATTGCCTCTGCTTCTAGAAGAGCTTTCCCTTGTCTTCCTAATCACCACTCAACTCTTGTGTCTCAACTCATCTTTCTCCAGAGAAGCTTTTCATAGGTCCCCCCAAAGACCTTTATACTAACAGTTGGTCCCTAACTTTGTGCTACTGGGAAGTGATGGACACTTTCAGAGCTGGGACTCAATGGGTGTTCTTCCGGTGATGGTGGGCATGCCCTAAAAATAGTGGCACCTTGACGTCATCCTTTTCTTCTCCTTTACTTCCCAGACATTAGTTCTTGTGCCATGAAACACTGCCCCAAAGCAATGGGACCAACCAATCAAAGTCATATTGAAACCTCCAAAAATGAGCCATAAACTGCACCCCCCCCCCCCATAGGCTGATTATCTCTGGTGTCTGTGATATTCATGGAAAGCTGAAACCCACATCTTCCTTGAGGCAACCCACCAAGGGTGGGTAAGGACCCAGTCCTGCATGCTTTCACAGTAACCTACTGGTCTCCCTCCTAGGACTTCTCAATACCAGTTGAATAGTTCATAGGGTGTGTCTTTGCATTGTGGGTGCGTGTACCCAGGTGGGTGCAGTCTTGACTCCTTAGGAGAGGCTGAGCTGAGTAATATCATCATGAACTCCCAATCCAGTTTCTGTCTTGCCCCATGTCCCATGGTAATGAGCAATGGTCTCTACTCCACTTTGTTGCTCAGAGACCCAGAGCAGTGGCGGCGTCAGCCCTTTGTGGATGCGCCAAGTAGAGCCTCTGGCCTCCTCTGAGGCTGTAGTGGAGAAGAGAGGCTGGAGACTGGGGTGTGTGAGCAGGGAACATGCAGCCTCAGCCCCTGAGAGGCAGCATCACACCCTGCCCTGCTATAAAGGGACTAGAGCACAGGGAGCTGGTAGATTCTCTGATCTGTAACAAGGTGTTAGCAAACTTGTTTCTTCCTGTGTCTTCTATGCCTAGCACATTGCTTGGCATGGAGTAGGGGCCCTGAAATATCTGTGGAGTGGATGAGTGTCGGTGTAAGTCTGCGATGGTCACGCAGCCAGCTCACTGGATTGCGACTGGCCTTCAGAACATGGTCCTTTAAGACTCAGAACCCTTGGCCTTTGGGCTGTATCTTGTCTAGCAGTCTGTAGAAAGTCCCCCCCCCCCCCCCCCCCCGCTGCATGTCGCTCACAGAATGCCATGCATTTAGCCACTTAATAGATTTGTCTTTCCTGATGAAACTGATGAAACTTACATGTCCTCCAATCAGCTTTGCAATCAGCCATCCAGCCACTCACCCCAGACAAGTGGCAGTTCAAATGCTGCTAACACTTCTTAAGTGCCTACTGTGTGCCAGGTGTGCCCTCTGGCGAGAGCACACAAAAGCTGGGCGAGATGAGCTAGGCTCCTGCCTTGCTAACGGAGTCACTGATGCCAGGAAGCAAAGCCCACAGCTGCTCTTGGATTTCAAGCTGACTGCTGAACCCCACCACGCAGAACCTTCAGTCAGTGGCAATGGGTGGGGCTGAGGAGCTACATGTTAACAAGTTCTGGGTTCTGGGTGTTTGACTCACTGGCCTCCTTAACTTGGCTCCATTGTCTCGCTTGGAGGAGGGCAGAGGTCAGCAGCACATCTCCGAGGCTGGTACCTAGTACTCCACTGTGAGGCTACTTACAGTCGAAGTCTGTAAATTGGATGAGCTCTGGGGTGCTTGGCAGATCTGACATTCTGTATTGTATGAGTGGATGAACTCAACCAAAGCTACAGATTCCATTTAAGTCTCTTCATGGGTGGGAAGAGCTGCACACTAAAAATTGCACAACAGTAAATACCCAAGAAGTCAAGGAGTTATCACATAGCCATGGTAGGCTCAGCCGATTGGCTGGCTGTGGGATTCCAAGCTGAGTGTAAGACAGCCCTTCTGCCCAAGGCACTGGAAACACACTTGAAACAATGAGGGCTTTGTGTATGTGTGTGTGGATATAGCTATGTGCTAATTGATCTGAGTGGGTTAAGAGTTAACCACAGGGTATGGGGGTGGTCAGGGGAAAGGCCCTGAGAGGAGGTGGGGCTCCAGAGCTCTGAGTTAGACAATGCCTATAGCTGATACTCACTCATACAGTAATGGAGAGTTCTTACCTGTACTGTCCCCATCAGCTGGTGTGAGGTGGACATTTGGGGGATGAAGAAACAGGCCTAGACTCATCTTAAGTTGATGTTCATGAAGAGAAATTGAGCTCGAACCAATGTCAGTCAAAGCCTGTGTTCTTCAAAAGGTTGGGCAGGGAGAATGAAAGACGGCATGATAGACATGCCCTATGCAGCCTGCCCGGGACTTGTGGAGTGTCTTAAATTGGATTAATTGAGGGGTGAGGTGAATGCCGACCAAGTAGGTTTAACCAACAGAGCCTGGTGGTGATGGCACACGCCTTTAATCCTTGGGAGTCAGAAGCAGGTGGATCTCTTTGAGTTCGAGGCCAGCCTGCTCTACAGAGTGAGTGAGTTCCAGGACAGCCAGAGCTACACAGAGAAACCCTGTCTCAAAAAAAAAAAAAGAGGCCAACAGTGATTAAGATGCTAATGACCACAGAATGGCCAGTGAGAAATACTAACATGATCATTGCATCTGAGGATGATCCTGGAAATGGTCAAGAGTTCAGACTCAGCAGAATCCCATAACAGAGTACCTCATGTTGTAGGAATTAGAAATTACCACTGCACAAGACTTTGGAGATGTATGTGGTTCAGGTATCAGTAAACACTTGCCACCCTAGCACTCAGGTAGATACGGCAGAGGACTGATAAGAGTTCCAGGCTAGACTGATCTACATAGTGAGTTGGTTGAGTTCCAGGCTAGACTGATCTACATAGTGAGTTGGTTGGGTGCAGTGGTAAGTACTTATCATCTTAGCACTCAGGTAGATACGGCAGAGGACTGATAAGAGTTCCGGGCTAGACTGATCTACATAGTGAGTTGGTTGGGTGCAGTGGTAAGTACTTATCTTAGCACTCAGGAAAATAAGGCAGAGGACCAATAAAAGTCCCAAGCTAGCCTGGTCTACACAGTGAGTTAGCTAGCATGAGCTATCCAGAAGGGCCCTGTCTCTAATTTCAAGCAAGCAAACAAACAAAAAGATACTGTCACTAAGTGTCAGGGCATGGAGTTTGGCTGGTAGAGGATGAGCCGTATCTGTCTCCATGGACTCCTGTGATCTGGAAACCTTGTCAAATAGTTCGTATAATTGTATCTGGTAGTCTTGTGTCCCTCTTACCATCCATAGTCACACACACACACACACACACACACACACACCCCTGAGCATGGGCCAGGGATATTCCCATGGTGTATTATTTTCAGAGTATTCCCTTGGTCGTGGCGATGCGGGTGGGAGACCTCCGTGATTTTCCTGTTTTGTTCCCTCCTTCCCAGCAGGCTTTCCAACTGAATCTTTGAAGAGGGCCACTGGCTAGGCAGGAAGCAGCTGTGAGAACACAGTCCACAAGGTCAGGGAGAAGCAGAGCAGAAACAGCCCTGATGCATCTCTCTTTAAGGGAGGACTAACAAAAGAGAGAGCACGTGGAGGTCCCAGTCAAGGGCAGAGGGAGGCGGCCGAGGTTCCCCCTTCCTCATCCCACTGTTAACATGGGCTACAAAGCTCAAGTCTTTATTACCAAAAATAAAAAAAAAGGGGAGAAAGAAAGAGAGAAAGAGAGGGGGAAAAGGTAGCTCAGCAGAAGTGGGAGTCCGTGAGAGGGGAGAGAGGCGCGAGCCACACACTGAAATCAATACTGCACAGGACAAGCATTATCCCATGTGGAACACCTCGAGCCTCTGCCTAGAAAATTTGATTGGATCTTCAGAAAAACCTATTAGTGTGTTGTCAGGACCTTCTGGTGATAACTGACCAACTCTTGCCAATCGATGCTCTTCACTTGTGGAGCTCCTGATTTCTTAACAGCATAATTGTTTTTTTAATAACGGGCCGCTCACCCACTCCAGCAAGCCGGAGTCAAAGTCAGACTCCCAACTTACAATGTAGAGAAATGTGGGGCTCGGGCCTCTCCGTCCTAATTGCACAATTACTTTACAGAGCAGCAGCGATGGGAGGGTGCAGTGGGGGCTGTGGGGAGCAGGGGCTCTTTCACCTGAGTGAAGTTGTGGAGAGAAGTCACAAAAGTAATTATACAAGTCAAAATTATGTGGCAAATGAAACCATTCTTCACAAAAGAGTTTTATTTATTTTTAAAGAAAAGGGGCCCAAATTGGACGACCCCAAGATGGCAAGGACACCACGAAACAGCAGTGGGATTAGTCATCACGTATTACAGCTTTTTAATTTCCAACTCAAGAGCAGGCAGTACAGTTTGTCGGGGTTCTAAATGCCCTGGGACAACAGCATCCCTTTTGCTCACAGGTGGTGCCTTGGACCCAAGAGGGCAAAGCACTTGACACAGGACTGGAAACAATTCGGGATTAAAGCTCTTTACAGAGGGAAAGCGGGGCTCAGGGAGGCAGCGACTGCCCAAGGTCACAGGCTGAATCAGAGGTACCGCTGGAAACACTACTCAGGCCCCGGGCTTGCAGCTCCGCAACACCAGCCTATCCCTCTACCCATGCACCAGAGAACCCCACAGCTGGAACACAGCCATGGGGTGGGAAGACAGCTGCCCTCTGAAGCCGGGGGCATCACCTGGACAGCTTGCCTTTTGCAGTCTTGAAGCTCGGGTGTGCAGGTCACATATCCCTACCGATTGCAATTGCCCTTGCTGCACAAGGGAGAACCACGGCAAAAGATGGTGTTTAATTGAACACTTCGTAACTGCAGCGTTCTGTGACTATCTGGAGTAGAACAGCTTGCCACGCTGAGCTCCCGATGCGTGAGGGTGGAGCCGTGAGAAGGGTCACCTTCTGCCAACCTGCCAGCTTTGCTCCTTTCCCCGAGCAAGCAGCTTCCTCCAGAACTTGTTTTATATAGTTAGGGAGAGGGAGATTCAGGAGAAGGGGAGAAGCAGAGGAGAGAGAGAGAAGGACAGGGGAAGAGAAAGGAAAGGGGTGGGAGAGAGAAGAAAAGGGTGACGAAACCAGGCATGGGGAGAAGGAAGAGGTGAGGAAAGAAAAGAAATGGGGGTAGTGGTAGTTTGGGAATCTTTACAAGGCCTAGAACCTCAAAACAGAAGCTTGCTTCCACCCTGTGCAAGCCTGCAGCCCCCACTGCTTACACTTAAGGCCTAGAGTTTAAAAACTCAGTTTTGTTGTGGACTGCTGATTGGCTGACAATGTCGTAGTTTTGTAGGTGTTTAACTGAACACTTAACACATTTGAGGGGGGGCAGTTTTCTTGTCTCCTCTGGATTTTGGAGCTCCTGTTTATTTCCTTTCCAGGCATCAAATACATTCACAAGCCCTGAAAGAGTTAGCTAGTATGGACCTCAACGGATAAAGCAGCCTAGAGAGGTAATAGGTCAGGATGGGAAAGATAAAACGAAAAACAGCCAACAACTTTGACTGTGACAGGAAGGAGCAAAACCCAAATTCCACAAAGCAGGCAGGAGGAGTTGGAGATATTTGAGAACTGCTGGTTAGAAAGAAGAAGAGAACAGGCCATATCCGCCTATTTCCAGAAAAGAGGCAGACAGAAGACCCATCCAACCACAGATGAAAAAAAAAATAGTCTTTTACTATCCAATAATTTATTGAGCACAGAGCCAGATACCACACTTGGTTTTCGAGATACAGAGCTGGATTTGATTCTGTCTCTAATTTCAAGGAATTTACTCTTTTATTGAGGGAGACAGAAAAGTAAACAAATAGTTCGGATATGAGATAAGGACAGAACTTGAGGTCAGAATGAGGGACTGAGAAGACAAAGGGAAGCATCCTGAATCAGTCCCCCCCGGGGGGTGGGACTCCCCTATTTTCCAAGGCACAGAGGTGGGGAGGGTGCTGAAGTAGTCCAAGTGCACAGAACAGCACAGACCATGTAGCTGAGGGTCATGGAGTAGGGTTGAGGACCAGAGTGAGGTGAAGGCATGTTGTGAGCATCGAGTTGATGGTAAATCCAAAATCAAGCAGGAGCTTTGCCTGAGCAGGGGAGGGTCCCAGGGTAGGTCATTAGGTCTAGTGATGGAGTTAGTGGGCAGACATCAGGGAAGCCAGGGGGAGGCTGTCACATTCTTTGAGTTGAAGAGGCACGGGCCAGGTTGGTGACATGCATATACAAATTTAGAAGGAGTCTGAGAAGCATCTAGAGGGCAATGGGCAGGAGCTGGTAACCACTGGAGGTGGGTGATGGAGAGGAGAGACTTGAGAATGATGCCGGAGTCTCTAGTTTGGGGGAGTAGCCGGCACAAGGTATATAAGGGAACAAGCACTCTTGAGGAAATGCCATTTCCCCAAAGGCTCAGGACCCCTGGCAGGATACCTACAGCAGGACAGTGTCCACTGAAAACTTGCCAGGGATCCCCATTAAAGCTCCTCCAAGACCTTGGAGTATCCCTGGAAGATTTTGATACCTTTTGGAGTGGCACTAGCTAAGCCAGAAACATGGCTCCAGAGACCATCCACTGGGTCCGTTCACTCTGCCTCAGAAGGAAGCATCTTGAAGTGCAAAGCGTAGGCAGGTGCTAGGGACCCTGCTGTCATTCATGGTTGGTGGAAGTATTGAAAGTCAGCTCGTGAACACCCTAGCTCTCCTGGGGTTCTCTCACCGGCAACACACCTGGGAGGCAGGGTTGACACATCTCCCAACCACACCTAACTCACTGGGTTAAACTCCTATCACCCATTTTCCTACTGGAGAAAGCAAGGAACTAAAACGTTTAGCCATGGAAGTCTGATCTAAGGAAACCTGTGATCATGGCATTGTTTGCAACAGCTTCATTTGATCTGGGCTTTAAAACAGGTGGAAACTTTTTTATGAAATTGCCAAGATTAAAAAGAGAGCTGGAGAGATGGTCAGCTCTCCCAAATCCTAACATAGTTGGGGGGGATGGTCAGCTCTCCCAAATCCTAACCAGAGACCTGTTCGGCATTCCTGGGAAGCAAACAGTCTCCAGAGCAAAAGGGATGCCGTTCCTCTTTCGGTCTTCCAGGTTGGCAGAAGGAAGGACACAGGAGGCTTTGGTTTGGGGACGGCATGAATGAACCACACGTGTCCATAAGTAAACCAGAAGCCCTCCAAACATGCTGCTCGTCTGTTCACACAAAAGCCAGGCTGGCAGCCCTCTTGCCCAGCCATGTTCACAGTTGGATCCTTAATGCATTGTGAGCATTCAATCAAACTTTTAGTGGCAAAACTCTAGGAGCAGAAAGCCAGCTAAGCCCAAGTGGTCCCTCTGCTTCTCCATCTTTTGTGGCTGCCTGCCTGTGCTCTTCTGGGTTTTGTTGTCAACAAACCCCTGGCTTGCCTTTGAGCGCTCCAAATTATTGAAAATGACTACAGCTTAAGACTGGCAGGATGATTGTTAAAAACAGCCCTGGCATTAATCATAGCTTAAGAGCTTTTGGAAAACGATTCTAATTCAGAAGGGGTGGCTTACAAAGAGGCTTGTCGAAAGCGAAGCAGACATCAAATTCTGAAAAGCAAAAAAAAAAAAAAAAAAAAAAAAAAAAAAAGCTCCTTGGTACCCACACCTGGCTTCTCCTGCAATCCAGCTGGCAGAAGTGTGTGTGGGGGAGGGAGGGTGGACGGAGAGCTTACCCCATTTGAGACCACCTTTGGGTTTATCACCCTGTCACATTCCACCCATCCCAGTCCTCCCCCGATCTGAGGACCTTGAAATGGGAAAGAGCTTGGGCGAAGGCACCCGCCGATTTAAGGATTCTTGGCAGCCCTTGGAATAAAGGAGAGGAGGCTAGGAGCCTTGTTTTCTGTCAACAGTTGGGGTGCCTTAGTCCGATGCTAAAATAAGCTGTGCACATAGAGGCAGCTGCCTGGGCAAACACATGGTCAGCATTTGCAAGGAGCCAGGCTCTTGCAAAAGACAAACTAATACTTCTGCCTTTTGCCTGCCTGGCACAACAAAGGAGAATGATTTTTGCCATCAGCATTCTCCCTATCATGGAATCATTGCACAATTTAGTATGATTAATGGTTTCCATTTAGGAGGAGCTGAGAATAAAACAGTGGGGGAGTGATGGCACAGGGCTGGGGAATGAAGGGGAAAGGGAGAGAGAGGGATGGCCGGTGCCTGCCGGCCACTCCCCTCTACCTTCACTTCCAGGCACGCTGGGGAAAAGACTCATGGCTTTTGACCTGAATTTGCATCAACAGTCTGGAAGCCGCAAGACTACCGTCCTGCCATTCTTGCAGCTCTCCCAGGATGGGTTAGCAAGAAGCCACTTCCTCCCGGACTGCCCAAGGGAATGCCCTTCCCAGAGCCTCCTGACTAAAGGCTGGCTGAGAGTGGGCAAGGTGATGGGGCTGCATAGCCGGCCGGCCGAAGGGAGCAGAGCTAACTACACCACTTCTTGGCATTCCTGATTGGCCACACGGGGAAGCCACACCGGGAAGGGAGGGTCCCACCCTTGTGCTGGGACCCACCCTTGTGCTGGGAGGGCAGTGGTGGCCTCCGATACAGGCGGCTGTCTCTGGGGCGCCCAGGCTGCTGAGCTGGGTCTCAGCTCGCCTCCGCTGGCTTTCCTGGAAGTTCTTTTCCACATCGTAGCATCCTTTCTGTCCACGTGTGGAGGCACTGTTTCTTCTCGGATCTCATGCGGCTGCGGGCGAGCGGTGAGACAAAGGGCTCCAGAGCCAGACTTGCGGGTGCTGACAGAAACCAACCAGGAAAACAGAATTCAAGAGGGCCTGTGCGTTTTGAGCAAGAGGCTTTGTAACTGAGGCCAGAAAGGGAGAGAACCGGTGATCTTGGCTGGGTCTAAACTCGAATCCAGGCCCTTCTGGAGGTTTTGGTGTCTCTGCAAGGAAATCTATTATTTTCCATAAACTGTCTTAAGTGTCTCCCGGCCGCATTTCTGGCTGTGTTAAGGATCAAGCCACCAAGAACAGCTGTGAGCTGCAGCAATGGGCTTTGGCAGCGAAGTAGGAGCAAAAAACCCAAGTAGGACATTTCAGTTGACAGTAATGGCATTTTCCCTTCCTTGTCCAAACGATAAAAGATTCATGCTCCTAACTGCGACACTACAGCTGCCCCCATCACTTTATTCTGGGAGAGGAGGTTAGAGAAAACAGGCCTAGAGAGAGGGAGAGAAAGAGAGAGAGAGAGACGGATAGTAATTTCGTCACTAGCTAACAGAGACCGATTAGTGTAGAAGACCCCATCCATAGCAATACTTTTTAATCAGGACTGCTGTGTCTGGGCAAACAGCTTTTGTGGATTAGCTAGACTGGAGCCTGCTAGCATCCGTTGCAAGTTTAAAGGATGAAATACACAACTACAGAGAAAACAAACTGAAAAGAGTAATAAAGTCACACATTTCAATATTCAGCAACCATTAAGGGATTTAAATATTTGCTTGCTATTAAAGGCTTGCATTAGGCTCTTCCAACACCAGCTCTGGAAGACTGAAATATCAATTACGGATCAATTTTCCCCCTAAGTAAACACTAATGCAGGATAAACAGTATTAGAAGATGCAATCGTAACATTGCTGACTTCAGGATGGACTTCCTGCTGGTAACAGCAAGTTTAAGCCTGGTGATTAATTAACCTGAGAAGATAGCACTTAAGGAAGATTTAAGGCAAGCATGTCTGAAATATGAGCATGAGCCAGCGCATGTATGCAGGACAGCCGGAGAGGTCTCGGCCCAGGGCGTGGGTTGTTTTGCTCCTCAGTAATGGTTCTGACTCCCCAGCCCGATATTTTAAAGGATTAGGAGGGAGCAAAGCAGGGCGTGTGGGTGGATGTGCGTGTGTGCCAGAGAAAAGTCTTGAAATTAATTCTATTTTTAAATAAGCAAGGGCTGCAGTTCCTACACTGGCCACCAGGGGAGCTACACAATATAGTATCTTGGCAATGAAAAACAAAATAAAACAAAAACAAAACCCGAGCTAAACCAAGCAAACAAAAAGCAAACAAACCAAAAACCCACCATTAGACAGGTGGTGGTGGGTCGGGGTGCACTCCTTTAATCCCAGTACGAGAGAGGCAGAGGCAGGAGAGCTCTGTGAGTTTGAGGCCAGCCTGTTCTACAAAGTGAGTTCCTGGATAGCCAGGGCTGTTACACAGAGAAACCCTGTCCTGAAAAAAAAACAAAAACCAAACCAAACCAAACCAAAAAACAAACAAAAACCCCAAAACACTAAACAACAACAAAAACAAAAACCACCACCAAAGCATGTAGTTTCATGTTGTACAAAAGAGTCCGGCTGCCGAAGACAGTAATACGCGAAAGCCTTAGACTCTTGTCATGTTCTGGTCTAGGCTTTGGGGTGCTCGCATTATCTTGATGGCCACTCCCCTCTTCCTACCAGGTAAAGTGGTGTGGGGACTGCATTACCCCATAGCTCCTGTCAGAGGCACACTTTAGCATTTTTATATGAGCACAAATAAAGGAAGGAGCGTATTTTCAATTTTTCTAACCTGTGGTACCTCATTCTGAAGGACCCTTATGATATATGACATTGTTACCTTACAGCTTTGCTCAACCATTACCCAAGAGGCCATCCTCCCCCAAAGGAGGAATAAACACCAGTGCAGACGGGCCTCGGGGCCCAGGGGTGCTAAACGTGGGGTGGACAGGCACCAATCTTTGAGGCCTTACAGGAACTACCTAGGTGGGGATGGACTTGCAAAGTCAAAATCAGGCAAGCAGCCCTTGACTGCTGGTCCTTTAATGCCCGCCGAGAGTTTACTATGTCCCTGCTATGACCATGACAGAGGGGCTGTGAGCCTGTCTGGGAGAGCAGAGAACCTCTTCTCCCATCGGCTGTAGAGTGGGGTCAGGCCATTTCAGCTGCATCCCCTTTTTTTTTTTTTCTGTGCAAATACGGAATTCACTGAAGAAATCCGGCTGCCAGTTCTTCATGATTAAATATTTGTGGCACCTTGGTGAAAAGATTTATTAGGAATCTGAGGCCACATTTTGTAATGCAACAGAAATGCCTCATGGAAGGAGGGTCTTTCTACTTGTCATGTGGGGACCACATGATTGCTTTAAGGCTCTGGATGACAGACTCAAAGGAACAGCTCTCCATAGAGCAAATCCACACTGTAAGGGTCACATTTCAACCAGACAGGAGACAGTGAAAGACTGCACCAATCAACACATGGGTATCACCTCGGGGTTCCAGTTGATGTATTTGGAGAACGCAAGCAGGCCAAACATTTTTGAGAACCCTCTGGAGGAAGCAAGGGCAGTTTTTGTACTACACTAAGAGGCACACAGGAAACTTAACAAGCGCATACTAACTTAGCTGCTTCTGCATTTTCTTATGTGCAAGCCCTACTGTGCTTTAAGAGCCAAGCTGCCACCTGTGTCTGCCTCAGTTCACTGACCACCAGGGTCCCTGCTCTGTGTGTTAAGGCTGAATCTGGAGCCTCATACTATAGGCGAGGAGATGGGTGAGGACACTGCACATACAGCATGGCATGTGGCTCAGAATAGCTACAAGTAAGTACACTGAGGAATCACGATGGGAAAATCCTTCAATAGTCTATGGAAAAATTCACAAGGGCATGAGTCCACACAGACAGTTCTCTCGAAGGAGTAGCCAGTTTTTAAAGCCATGGGCCACCTTGTCCTCTAAATCAACATTACAGTCTAATGAACACACAATGTGTGCTTACTTCCTGTCTGCAACCTTACTGCCTAAGCACCAGTTTCTTATCTTTTAGGTGGAGTTGAAGATCGAACTCAAGGTCCACTGCATGCTAAGCATAGGCCTTACCATTGAGCTATACCCCAGCCCATGGTGTGTCTCTTCTCTCTCTCTTTCCTAATGTTCTTGGATGTTATAACAAACTCTACCTTACCCAGCAGAAGACAAAGAGCAGGTGCACTGGGCAACATTCCTGAGGCTTCCCAGCTAGGAAAGATAGGGCAGCTATTGAAACTCAAGGCTGGTCCACTCTAGCCCTTGATCTTGAGCGCTATCTAAATTGCCCTTGTGGGTCCTCTAGAGATACGGTAGATCATCTTCCCCGTTGTTTTTTTTTTGCCTTTTGGCAGAAGTTGGGAGAGGCCAGTGAACACGCAAAGCTTCCGCCTAGACTCTGAGGACCGCCACAAGATGGATTCCATTCACAGAGCACCTTATTCCTCCTGTCTGCCTGCTGGCTAGGTTCATTGGCCCCCTACAGCTGACTCACTTTTCTTCTCTCATGTCCTTGGAAACCCGGCCAAGCCCCCAGCTCTTCCCATTGAGCTGACTTGCCAGCTTCTGCTTGTTCCCCACCTCCACCCAGCTTCTGCCATCATTACATGGGGTGTGGCACTCACAAGTGAGGTCACTTCACTGGTGTAACTGGCACCTTAGTCAGCCTCTAGTGATCACGTACACTTGTCTGTGTCCCCCACAATGTCCATGTGCCAGACACGCAATGACTGCAAAATTGCTTCTGTTGGTGCTGTTTGCTCAGGGACAGACAGACCACGATGGAAGAAACCGAAGTCTTTTCTGGAGCTTACCTTGTCTCTCCCTGCCAAATCTTCCTGGTTACCTCACTGAGACAGAGGGGGAACCCAAGGAGAGGTGGGTGAAGGTGAGAAAGGGCACTTTGGGGTGGTCAGATTTCTGCTCATGGATTTCTGCTCAAGTGCGGTCCTTGCTAACTTCGCCTGCAAGGCAAGGACGTTGATACCATGCTGCTGAATCTCACAGTCCACCTGGGCCCGGAAGTCTCCAAAACCTAAATGGTAAGTGAGAACAACCCGCAGGCAGCCAAACTGTTAGCCCTCAGCAGTTCACCTCTTCATTTTTGTGCAAGGAGAGAGAGTTTTAAAAGGAAGAAGGCAGTATGAATTGTTAGGACAAGGAATCCCCAAAGAAAGAGACGGTGGAGCAGGCAACACAGGAAAGTCGGTGGGTGAGAGCGGGGAGGGTAGTGGTGGACACGTCCATGGGAGGTGCCATCCCCGGCAGCCGCATGTACACCTGCACAAATCACCGCGCCCACTGGAGGTGACTCCTTCAGCCAAGCACCGGACTCCCCTGTCTACTGTGAGGGTAGAAGAGGACAGGACAAGGATGAATAGACAAGAGAGACAAACTCAGCTGGCAGCTACTTCCCAGCAACCTACTGCCAGTGTTCTGGGCCCCCACACAAGGTCCTAGGAGAGGAAGCTGGGACCAGAGGCCGGGTGTTGTAAGAATCCAGAAAGAGATTTGAAGGATCACTTGTAACATTAATTTTTTTTATTAAGAAGACAGATATTTTATAGTACTTCTTTTTTTTTCTTTTTTCTTTTTGTAAAAATGGTATACATGAACCGATACAAAATGCGAATGGGAACACACGGATGTGGAGTTTCTTACACTGTAACATGGTCCTTGTACACCTTAGAAACAGAACTGGCCTAGAGGGAAAAACAAGACGTCCTCGTGACTAAAGAACAAGCTTATTTGGCATCAATTATACATCCTTCATTATTTTATATTCCTTTAAAAAAACACAAAAAACCAAGTTTGTTCTTTCTTCACTCTAAAAAAAGTGATCAACCTGTACAAAGTAATACTCAACAATACATTTCAAACAGTGCACTGTATACTTAAGAAAAATACGTAAACCAATATACAACTAAAATCCATAATTTCCTGTTTTTGTTTTGTTTTATTATAATTATAATTATAATTATTATTTATTATTTTTTCCAATGTGTGGGGCCTACACTTTGCAATCTACCTGAGACGGAAAAACACCAATCGAAACACAGGAACCTGAGACATGTCAACATTGTAAGTCATCAAGTTACATCAGAACGCTGCACTACTGTACACTTGTCAAAACAGAAAGATGGGCGGTCCCGAAAATGAGATGCCAATTCTGTGAACAATGGTAGGTTTTTTTTTGTTTGTTTGTTGGTTTTTTGTTTTTTTGTATTTTTTTTTGTATTTTTTTTTCTAAAAAGAACAGTTGAAAAACCCTTTCAACGACATGCTAACTGGTTCTCACCCTTTGATATGGTCACACTATGTTCAGGATGGGTGCTAAGGGCTCGGAATAGATGCACATTATAAAATTCTTGAAAAAGGGATGTTCCTTGTGGCTTTTTGTCTTGGTTAAGTGCCTAGGGACAGGAGAGGGGGTCAACAAAACACTGCTCAATAATGAATTTTCCTTTACATACCAGTCCGTTCCCAAAAGGCCCCCATATTGCAATGGTTCTATCAGAAGTGAAAATAAAGACAAGAAAAAGAAATACGCTTTCAAATAACAGAGTCGACACTTTTTCCCCTTAAATAAATCAGCGTAAGTTTTCCACATAATGTAACAATAGTAAAAATGCACCTTGCAAAATCCAAAAGTACTGACTGAAAATGTTATATAATATATATTTATATATTTATATATATAGATAGATCTATCTTTTCTGATGCCACCTTTCCATAAGGGACTGTTATTTGGAGTCTGGAGCCCTACCAACACATAGGGTAAGAGTTTAGGTTTTCGTCCTTCAGAACTACTTCTGGATTTCCTCAACACATCAGCGACAAAGCCCTACTGAGCTCTAAAGAATGCAAATGGTAACTGGACTCTCTACCGTCCCCCAGGCTCCAGTCTGAGATATGTTCAAGGTAACTTAGTTTAGTAGCTATGCGCTATGGCTGCCATCATGCGAGATGAGGAATTTTTGGCAGATGGTTCTTAAGGCTGAGGAAAGAGGCCAAGGCTAGTGTAGGAAAGGTAGAAAGATAAAAACACTCACATTTGAGTTTTGATTAAGTAACTGAAAGTCTCTACAGGCTGCTTCTCCACCTAGGCTCTGACCTTTCGAGAACAATACCGGCCCTTCTTTTGTACCTCCTGCCTTTGTCTAGCCAAGTCTGAAGGAATGAGAGCTGCTCGGGATGGGAGTTGGAAGCCCCAGCAGGACGAGAGTCCCAGCAGGACAGTGTCTGTAATATACAGTACATGCAGGCCACATCCTACTGCCCTCTTAAGTAAGCACAAAGGAAAACAAAAACAAAAACAAAAACAAACAAAAACCCCAAACAAAAACCTGCCCCCTTCCGTCACTCACACAACACACGGACTTGCTCTCTCCTGCACATCAATGAGCAGTAAGGCCAATTGGGAAAGGTGGATGGAGTTGTTTGGAGTAGAAACAACCAGAGCAGGACTGCTTTATCCCCTTCCTGCTTCCCCTCCTGGGGCAACTCAAATTTGTCCACTGACATCAAATGGACAGACCTCACCTATTGGGTCTGTTTAGGGCAACGAGTAAGGAGGAGACTTTCTACCCCAAACCTTTCTGCACAGCGTGGGGGTAATCTATACTGAGCCGCCTACAGATACAGAATTAAAGACAGATTCAATCTCATTGCGACACACCTCACTTGCAGATAACCCTGTACAGTAATGAAGATCCACAGCAAACAACAGTTTCGGAGTCACAGTCTACTTTTCTAGTCTTCGCTGCTCTAAGTATTGAAACATGGGCAGCAGCAAAGAGTTTTCACTGTTTTTTTTCTTTTTTTTTTCTTTTTTTTTTCACCCAAATCTTTACGACAACAGAGAAGAATGCATCATGGAGACACTAAATTCTGAACTATGAAATCTAAACTGTGCTGGTTTTCCTTTTATGCAACTGAATTTGGAACAGAAAGCAGTCACCGTCAACACAAAAACAAACGAAAGCAGAAATCGACAACAATAGGGAAAAGTCTTAGGAATCCCAGCAGGTCAATTCCAAAAAAGGGGAGGTTTCGGGAGGGAAAAAAATCGATTTTGGGAAAAATAAATGCATAAAAAGGAAAAGGGGAAAGAAACACGACAAACAAATGAAAAACAAGGCACAGAATTTTCTGCAATCTACCAAAACCCAAGTTTGACTTGGTAGGAAGAAATAAAAATTAAAAAACCAAAACCCAAACCAAATTAAAACCAGATAAAAAGAGGTGTCAAACAGCAGAGCGTACTTTCCAAAGAACATTTTTTTCTTTTTGTTTTTACATAGCGAATCCCAAGCCTTCCCAGTCTCGCATCTTTCCACCCACTCATAAAAAACACACGAGCTTCTTGCAAGTTGCAGTATCACTGTCTCTTTATCATCTAAACGGGCCCGTTGGACACCTCATTGGGACAAAAAGGCTGCTCTAGATGAAGTACTCTTTCTTTTCTTCCGAGTTGTTCTGTCCTCCTTCTGCATTGATTATAGCTGTGTCTGCGTCTGCTGCGTCATCGGCTCCTTTGGCTTCATGAGTGAAGTATGTACCTGAAAGATGAAGGGGTAAAGCACTGTGACTCTCTGATGGCCTCGGGGTGAAGCGGTACAGAGATGGCAAGTTGCTTTATGGCCATCATCAGCCGAAGTGGTGTGCAGGCAGCAGAGGGGAAAAAAACAGTTGGAAGAAGAGAGCGAGGTGGGTGAGACAGATGGGGTCCGGGGCTCCAAAGGTACCACTCCAACTGAGACGCTGCGGTGCAATTCAGCAAAGGAGACATTAGAGCAGTGGTTATGACCAGAGAAGAAGACGGAGTGGGGCTCAAATGCAGAGAGCTGGACAGCTGCTGACTAACGCACAGACAGTAAACACCAAAGACCGATGACCAGAGATGTTCGCACACGGGTAAAGACCAAAGCAAGGAAGAGCAATTAGCCAATAAATGAATTAGGGCCCCAGTGACGCTTCTACTGTCATCTTGGATCAGTTACTCCAACCATAGTCTTCCTGGCTTCAGGACTGCTATTGGCTACCCACAGGTGAACTGTCTTGAACTTATATAAGGGCTGGTTTCTCTACACCTTCCATTTCAGAGCACGGCATCAGATAGAGACACAATTTGACATTGTAAAAACTACAATTGAGGCTTGGGCTCTGTCTTCATGACCAAGGGATTCTTTCTCACCATGTGACTGGAGCCTGGACCCGGATTCATGGATTTGCTAATTGGCACAGCCATTTTATAATGACAATAGACAGAACATTAACCAAGTTGGTGACATTTCTATCACCAAATCCCAAGGGTTTACATGGAGGAAGACAAGACTTCACCTCAGAATAGCAGGCAGGTAGAAATCCAACTGCCTGGTACAATCTGATAGCTTCCTTCCCATTACGTTCTGACTCTAAAGATTCTGATACTCCAAAAAGCCTGAGACATTTTGCTGAATTTTCAGATTTTAAAGTGATAAGAAGCTGAGCAAGCAGGTGGTCAAACGCTTCCTTCCTGAGTGCTCTCTCTTGCAGAGACATGTTACCCCTGTCCTCTGATCCTCCACAGGTGCTGTGCACACTCTGCTTTGGCTCCCTGGCTTCACCTTCCCAGCTCCACCAAGTTAAGCACTCTAAGTTGGAAGTTCTGGGCCACACAGCTCCAAGAGTCCCCAATTGTTCTGTGCTCCAGACAGACACTTCTGGATCCTAAAGTCTGTTGTTAAGCACCCTGGACCTCCACTGCTTGGCTCCAGGGACCCCTCCCCAAACCCAAGTCACAATCAAGCAGTATGTAAGCACCCACAAAACCCCCAAAGCTCATTGCACAGTGCTTGAAAAAAACAACTGAGAAAGACAAGGGCCGACAAAGAAAAGGAAGACTAAATTACCAGGAGGGGAGAAGAGGCTCCGAGCAGCATGAGGCAGAGAGGAAGAGCATTGGCAAAGATGATTGCCCATCCAGTCTGCACAGTTGGTAAGTGTGATGATTAATGGCAATTTAAATCAATTGCCCTGATAATTTAAAAAATACATATTTATGTGGCTTTTAGCGCAAAGGATTTTTTTTTCCTTTTTCTTTTTCTTTTTTTAAACCTGGGCACATCACATCAAGGAGGAAATGTTCTGGCCCTGGGGACCAGCTCACTCAGAGTTCAGGGTCAGCGAACTGGTCCTCCTGTCTCTGGGGAAATGAGCAGGTTGTGGATGTTTGCCATGCATACAATCATCCAGGGCTCAGGCCACTCATCACACCAGCCCCTACCTTATTATTTTGACTCTATCCCCAAATGTAGACTGGGGAACAGCAGACCTGTACAGCTTTGTATTTATAGGGAATCCAAATCTCTTCATGCAGTCTTCAGCAACATTTGCTAAGGTTTCTTCACCCACCCAACCACGCTTCTTCCCATTTCAGGAAACATATATTCTGTGTCATCCTTTACAGCAAGCTGCCTACTAATGACAATAGTGAGGTCCCCCAATTCCAGGGCTGTGGCGACATGTTGCTCCAGCCTGCCAAAGCACCTTGCTTACCTTTATGTCTGGCAAAATAGCGGCCCAGAATGATGAGCAAGCAAAGCATGGCAAACACGACCACAGCTACGACGCCGCCAATCACTGCGTGGTCCACTGCCCCAATGGCGCCCTCTTCACCTGCTCGAGAATCTGTTGAAACCAGAAGAGGAATAGGGATGTAGAACTTATTATAAGACACCAGGAGCCCCAGGGACACCGCCTCCAGGGTCAGAAGGTTACCTTCTTTTTTAATGGAGGAGTCAGCGAGAACAAACCAGATGGATCAAGTTACATAGAGGGAACAGACTGACCTGTCCAGTGCTGAATTGATCTGTTCTCCCCACAAGGCAATTTCATTAGAGGCAGCATAGGAGTGCTACTGTGTGTGAAAGAAACTTAGGGAGCTGTGTGTGTGTGTGTGTGTGTGTGTGTGTGTGTGTGTGTGGTGGATCCTGCCTGTTCTCACCCATTCTTAGCACTCACAATACACATCCTGGAACTTACAGCTACTAATAATTAAGGAGGCTGACTTAACTATTTATGGACAACACAGATGGTATCTTTAGGCTATCAGAAGAACGGGGTGTGTGTGTGGGGGGGCAGGCCCCATAGCTCACTCATAAGGAAACACGCATAGGGAAAGCAAGGCTGTGTAGAGATAAAACCAGGCTTATGAGACTAAAGACATATGACATGCTTGCCACATTTACAAGATGTGAGGAGGGGGAAAGCCTCAATTTAAAACCAAAAGCCCAATTCAAAGAGAGAGGAGGGGAGGGAGAGAGAGAGGGAGAGAGAAAACGTTAAGACAGGAAGGAATACTTGTCCATCGCCATAGACAGTTTTTATGTTGTTTATTTAACACCTTGAAATGCAATTAGTTTTCTCTTATAAGCCTCGCTCCCTCAGGATGTCTCTTTTTGAGTTTTTGGCTGGGGAACAACTTCAGAATGAACCCGGAATGAGCTATGGCGATGCAGAACGGATGTATGGCAGGGTAAACAATTTTAATTTAGGAATGTGGCTACATCACCCCTTGCTGAAATCCTAATGGCACCCGAGATTTATAACATAGTAAAAAACAATTATTCTCCCCTTGATTAATACATTAACATTTTGGAGTGGAAGCTAAACCATTGTCTTTTTTTTTTCTTCTTTTTATTGAGTCAAGTACGACACCTCCATTAAAATGATTTACTGGCTGTACCTTACAATTTAAGCACAGCAGCAACAGAAACGGTAAAAATCTTTTAACTTTACATGATTTGTGAAGTCATATGTGAAGGATTTACCATTTAAATCTTTCAGTACATGAAGCACATGGCCTATAAATCTGCCCCCCTTGTAGCTGCTGGATGCCTAAGAGAAATGCATTTCACCGGGAAGACCGAGTGCAAACTCAAGTCAATTTCTAAGAAAGATTTATCTCTGTCTCTCTCCAAAGAACAGAGCAAATCTCTGAAGCCTCCACCTCTAATAATATTTGAAGTTTATCGATCAAGTGTACAGATCCGTGACAGCTAAAGGTAATGGTACTCTTTTGAGCCGAAACCTGATACAACGCTTTCAGCGGGAGGGCAGGGCTTACACTTTCTATCGATATTTCCAATTCTGCTTGGAGACTAGGCACTGAAGGATGTGGGGGAAATAACTCGTGACTAAGGCTCCCATGGAAAGAGCTTTAATTAAAAGGGCCTCAATTAGAACGTGGACTATTTAAAGTGTTCCATGGAGTTAGCTTGGGAAGGACTACAGAATAACTCAAACCCCAAACCCCAACAGAAATGCCAAGTCAGAGGCAGCGGCAGGTCGCCTGGACAACAGGATGATGGGAGTTTAATTGGAGGATGGAGATGGGTTGGAGGCAGAGTGCTGCAGCCAATTAGTCTACTCCGTGATGAGCAAGCCCCTCCAGCAACGTGTTTAATAAGCACCACTTGAAATGTAGTGGAGAGGAATCCCCTGCCTCAGCCCAAGTGCTGCTGACTGCAGACAATACGGCTCCTGTTGTCCTGGAAGTCCTTTCGACCAGCAGACTGGGTTCATGGAAACTTTGTTGTCTTTTAGGAAACAGCTTGTTGATGCGAAGTACTGTTTGTGGGGTGTGCACTAATTGTTCTTCAGAGACAAAATACCTGCCACAAATAACTGAAGGAAGGGCTTGTTTTGGTTCTCATTTTGAGGATATAGTCCATCGTGGCAGGGAAGGAATGGCGGCAGGACCGAGTGGGGCAGCTGGTTGCATGGCATCCCAGTCAGAAGCAGAGAGAGGTGAACGCTGGTACTGGGCTTGCTTTTTTTTTTTTTTTTTTTTAAATTTGGTCTAGAATCATGGAATGGTGTCACCCACATTTAGGATTGGGCTTCTCTCTTCAGTTAAACCTTTCTGGAGACATCATCAGACACATCCATGAGTGTGTTTCCACGGCGATCCTAAAACCAGTCAAGCCGATGATGAAGTGTAAACATCACAGGGTGGTACTGGATTCTGGTGCCTGCTGGAGGACCACACTTTACATTGTGTTGACACACCTCACTGCAAACACTCAAATGTTCTCACAGGGACCAAGTAGTAGTAAAACTTGTTAGTTGTGTTTGAACGATATCAACTAATCTTTAGTTGCCGTGGGCTTCAAACTGATTGAATGTTTGACTTATTTCAATAAAGTCTGTCTTAGATTTGGGACAAAGTGATACAGATGCAGAAAGAGTTACATGAGGCAAGGGAGGGGGGAGGTGCCACTTTGTTAGGGCTGAAGAAGTTTCTAGAAGCTGTTGAAGACACAGCCCCTACCCATCTGGAGGCAGGCAACTCTTATCCACTATTAAAAGACTAATTACTCCAACTTCAGGCACAGAACAGCCCAAGAGATGTGCTGGTATGTTTGTGCTTAGGGGTGGGGAGGAGGAGGAAAAAAAAGAAAAGAAAGACAGGAAGAAGGAAAACCCTCTCAAAACAAGGTTAAAACAAACAAACAAACAAACAAACAAACAAACAGAAAAACCCGTCATCGTGGGATTCCTTACTTAAGCCCAACTATTCGGTTGACCTTTGCTCTCCAAATGTGCTTAGTCTAGCTGTTTCCTCCTGGACTTAGCCTACACTAAACACCTATGTTTTAGTTCTTTCCCACCTTCAGGGACACACAGCCTTTGCAGATATTTATAAGTGCAATCTCTCTAGCTTCCTTCTGATATTCACTTGGATCAGAAAGTTTACTACTGCTAGTTAATCACCAAGACACTTTTCCCGCCTTCAATTACGGCAGATGGACACAGAAGGTAACTGATGTTTAATTTACAGGGAACACTGCTGGTTATGAGCCCCTGGCCGCCTCTTCCCACCTCTCCTCCACCCTGCTCCCACCCCTGGTTGGCCATGGGAGGCAGTAATAGAGCTGTGACTGTTCCTAAGTGCCTGTCACGGTCGGGCCTCCCCTGTGGAGAGCAGTTCTTCCTCATTCATCTCTTGTTTCCTCTTGTGGGGTGGGAGGCAGTTCCAACTGTGCTGTGGATTGGCTCAGAGTGCTAGGGGTGATGCTGGCTGTCTGCCATCCGGTAAGAACTACCTGCACCTGCAGCTGATGCCTCGATGGTCACAAAGAGCAACGGATGCATTTGGCTGTCCGAGTCAGATAAGAACAGGAGCCTGTGTGCCATACAGACGACTCACAGGGGATCTTCGGCAATGTCCCCCAGCCTCCATCTCTCCGGTCTTGCACAAGAGGTGAGAATTCAGACTAGTTCTTGAGGAATTAACTAAGTGCAAAGGCCACGGCTGTCACCATCATCTGAAAGTCTTGCTCCTCTGAGGGAGGAGATGCATCCCCGTGGGGACTGCCCCATTTGTTGCTCCTTTCCCTGGGAACACCTCTCCAGATTTCTTCCTCCCTTTTGTAGTCGGACAAAGACACTGGAGGCAAACTCTCCAGCCGCTGCAGCTTCTCAAGCGAAGAGAGGTGAGGGTGCGGAGGTCTTCTAAAGGAGCCCAGTCTTCAGGTAAAGGAAAGCCTCTTGTGCAGTCACGGGTGTTAGTGTGTCTATTGTGGGATGAAGCTGTGCCCTTGCTGTACTGGGGAGGAACGCCAAGCACATGCTTGGTACATGCATATAAAAGAGTCATTCCAGTTTTCGACAACCACGGTCTGTGTGTAGTTAACCTCATCCAGATAACTTCATACACATACTCAGGGGAATGAGTGAGCTGACTAAGTCTAACTCAGACAACACTGAAGGCTGAGTGTGACAACACTACTGTGGCACAAACCCTGGTCTGCCACCCCACCCCCCCACCATGCTGCACCATTTTATAACTCCAAATGAGTTATATACATCATGAGCTGGTTAGAGTTGGGAGTTAGCTTTTCTTTTGACAAAAAGCTGAAACAACTTGGCTCCAAGTAAGATTTATAAGTCCCTTGCAGAATGTCAAGTTGGCAAAAAAAAAAAAAAAAAAGAAAAAAAAAAAGAAACAAAAATCAATTAAACAGGAGACAACAACAACAATGGAAAACTGTGTCATAGCTTCAACTACCCTGGCCGTGGTTTTAGCATCTCAGAAATCTCAGAATAACAACAACGATAAAAGAATTAAAAACAACAATAACAACAACAAACTACTTTCATCAAATCCCAGGAACATCCCAAACTGCTCGGCATTCTTCAGCTCGGGGCAGCTGACCTGACCCCCCCCACTCCTCGAGGGCAATGTGAATGGGGTAATTCTGCAGGCAGGATTGGACTTTTAGTCTCTCTCCACCCCTCGAGCGGACCTCTCTCTTTTTTGCTACTTGCATTCACTCCTTAAACACTTACTAAAGTGGAACACTTCCTTCACAAAGCACTCCCTCAGCTCGCTGCCTGTGTGGTGCAGGCATCTGTAAGGGGCCCTGGTTTCTATGGCTACTTTACCGCCTGGCAGGAGACGTGCCACACGAACTGCCAGGAGAAGGCCATGATCGTGGATCTGTCATAAGTCTTGCAGGCTGTGTTGCCAAAGCAGGATCCATGGATAACCAGGGAATGGCTAGGATGTCCTTGACAGGCTCCTGGCAAGGAAGGTCTTTGGCAGAGGGACTCACGGAGCAGAAACCTCACTGTCACTGCAGGCTGCCCATTTGGAAACCCAGGCTGCAGAATCTAGTCAGTCT